GTAGTAGTAGTAGGGGTAGGGGTAGGGGTAGGGGTAGTAGCAGTGGAGTCGTCGTGGTAGAAGTAGTGGTAGGACTAGGCGTATTTGTGGTAGAAGTAGTAGGACTAGGAGTAGTAGTAGGAGTAATAGTAGTAGGACTAGTAGTAGTAGTAGTAGTAGTAGTAGTAGTAGTAGTAGTAGTAGTAGTAGTAGTAGTAGTAGTAGGACTAGGAGTAGTCGTGGTAGAAGTGGTAAGTAGGAGTAGCAGTAGTAGTAGTCGTACTAGTAGTAGTAGTAGTAGTAGTAGTAGTAGTAGTAGTCGTCGTCGTCGTCGTCGTCGTCGTCGTCGTCGTCGTACTAGGAATAGTAGTAGTAGTCGTCGTCGCCGTTGCCGTAGCAGTAGTAGTAGTAGCAGTCGTAGTCGTAGTCGTAGTAGTAGTAGTAGTAGTAGTAGTAGTAGTAGTAGTAGTAGTAGTAGTAGTCGTCGGAGTCGCAGTCGTAAGAGTAGGCGTAGCAGTTCAGTAGTAGTCGCAGAAGTAGTAGCAGTAGTTGTAGCAGTTGGGGTAGTCGTAGTAGTAGTAGTCGTAGTCGTCGTCGTCGTCGTCGTCGTCGTCGTCGTCGTCGTCGTAGTAGTAGTAGTAGTAGTAGTAGTAGTAGTAGTAGTAGTAGTAGTAGTAGTAGTAGTAGTGGTAGTAATCCTAGTCGAAGTCGAAGTCGGAGCCGTAGTAGCCGTCGTAGTGGTAGTAGTGGTCGTGGTCGTAGTAATACTGGTAGTAGTAATAGGATTATTTGTCGTACTTGTCGTAGCAATAGCAGTCGCAGCAGCAGCAGCAGCAGCAGCAGCAGCAGTAGTAGTAGTAGTAGTAGTAGCAGCGTTCGTAGTGACAATCGAAGTGGTATCATAAGTAGTAGTATTGAGTTAGGTATTCGGTTGTAGTCGTAGTAGCATAGTGTGGTCGTATTAGCAGCGTCGTAACGGAATGTAGAAGCAGTAGCAGTAGAAGTAGTAGTAGTAGTAGTAGTAGTAGTAGTAGTAGTAGTAGTAGTAGTAGTAGTAGTAGTAGTCGTAGTAGTAGTAGTAGTAGTAGTAGTAGTAGTAGTAGTAGTAGTAGTAGTAGTAGTAGTAGTGGTAGTAGTAGTAGTAGTAGTAGTAGTAGTAGTAGTCGTACTCGTAGTAGTCGTAGTAGTTGTAGTAGTTGTAGTAGTCGTAGTCGTAGTAGTCGTAGTAGTAGTAGTAGTAGTAGTAGTAGTAGTAGTAGTAGTAGTAGTAGTAATAGCAGTAGTAATTCTAGTCGTAGTCGCAGTCGTAGTCTTAGTCATAGTCGTAGTTGTGGTAGTGGTGGTGGTGGTAGTAGTAGAACGGGTGGGGGGCAACGGGTGGGGGGGGGAACCCGAGGAAAGAAGCATACAGAAGCGGGCCGAGGGTTTCCTCCTGCTCTTCCCCTCCCCCCCAGGTCCTCGAGCTCATGTCGGGGCTGGAGGCCACGATCGTCAAAGAGACCGAGGAGGCCGCCAAGCTCAAGGCTGAGAAGGACCACGAGTGGGCGCAGCGGCCACGTCGCGGGCGGTGGTGTTATGGTGCTCAGATGTTGGAAGCAGCGCGATCATGCTGACGATGGAGATGATGTTGATGATGATGTTGATGATGGCGGTGATTGTGATGATGATGATGATGATGATGATGCTGAAGTTTATGATGATGATGCTTATGCTGGTAATGATGGTAATGATGGTCCTGTTGGTGATGGTGTTGGCGATGATTATGATGCGTATGATGATGCTGTTGGTGCTGATGATGCCGGTGATGCTGATGGTCATGTTGATGATGATGCTAATGAGTATTCCGGTAACGGTGTTGATGATGTTGATTATGATGATGACAGGGATGATGATTATCATGACGATGCTGATGACGCAGTTGTTGTTGTTGATGATAATGTTGATGCTGCTGATGATGCTGATGGTGGTGGTGGTGATGCTGATGGTGGTGGTGGTGACGACGGTGACCATTACGATGACGGTGCTGATTAGGATGATGATGACGATGGTGGTGATGGTGATGGTGATGGCCACGATGATGGTGCTGATGATGATGTTGCTGCTGATGATGGTGATGGTGCTGACGATGAGATTCATGCTGCTGATGATGATAATGGTGATGATGCTCATCATGATGGTGACGATGGTGGTGACAACGGCGATGCCGATGATAATGATGATGAAGGAGATGGTGATACTGATGATGCTGATGGTGCTGATACTGATGATGGTACTGATGATGATGATGACGATGATGATAATGACGATGATGATTGTGATGTGGATGATGATGCTGATGGGGGTGGTGGTTATGATGATGATGATGCTGATGGTGGTGGTGGTGATGATGACGATCATGGTGGTGCTGGTGGTGGTGGTGTTGATGAAGTGAGCCCAAACCGCATCAACGATGATGCAAGTCACCCTCCCGCCCCCAATCCAATTTCAGACCGCCCCAAATCCAATTTCAGAAGTTCCTGCAAGCATGCCTTTCCACTGCGGGGGCTGCCCCAGACGACGAACGCCACTGGTGGTTGCCGTTGAAGCGAACGTTCTGTCTCGAAAGCGTGCTGCCCTCCATTCTTGTAGTTGTAACGATTGCCAATAGGTGTGATCGTGTCGACCAAAGCAGTCTAAGACCGACAGCTCCACTTCTGTGAAGGCCACCCGCAGCTGTTGTGCAGTTTGAGCTCCGTGGTCGTAGGGTTCAAAGACAGACATGCGCATGCGCAAGCCAACGTGTGACGAGGACACGCCCGCCCCTCGTCCGTGCACACGTCGCCCAAACAACTTTAGGACGGATGCGCGCGGCGGCAAAGCGGTAGCTTCGTTCTGAAGCCCACGCCACCTCCACCCGTGCAGCTAACGGAAACAGTGAGGACGAGTGCGCGATGCTGACATCTCAAAGAAGGCCCGCCATTCATCCATGCAGCTGTTTGGGATGTGTATGGGTTTGGGACAGATATGCGCGGCTTTGAAGCGAGAGCGTTTTGAAAACGGCCTAGCCTATTCATGTTTGATGGAATGTGTAGGTTTTGCAGGATCATGCATGTTGGTGAGATCTCAAGCGAAGCACCCAGACCGTACAACCGACTGGTCCGTCGGTTTGACGTGCGGGGGGACAGAGGGGTTGAGAAGGAGGCGGGAGAGGACGATCAGGACCAAGCGCATGCTTTTGGTGTCAGAAGGTTTTCAGGTCTTTGCGGAGGTTTCCAGGTATTCCCGGAAGCTCACGGAGGTGTTCATGTGTTTCTTGGTTGTCTTCGTAATCATTTGTTGCATTCTCCTCTTGATCGACCTCATCCTCATTGGTATCGATCTCCTCCGCCTACCCGACCTTCGATGCGTTGTCTTCCGCTTCTGCCTTCACTCCTCCTCCTCCTCCTTCTCCTCCTCCTCCTCCTCCATCTCTCCTCCTTCCCTTCCACGTCGGGCAAGACTCTGATAATCGAGGCGCCCCCAGGAAGAGGCCTGGATCCTAGATGGGATCAAATTAGGCTAGCGCAGGGGGGTGAGCCAAACCCTCCCAGACCTGATAATGGAAAGAGTGGTACGATGAGGATGAGAAAGAGGAGGAGGCGTAACGGCAGAGAAGGAGAAGGAAGAGGAGGAGGGAAGGAGGAGGAGGACCGGCCGGAAGAAGAGGAGCAGGAGGGAGAGAAGCAAGTCCGCCAGAGCCCAAACGAGGCTTGGGCCAACCCGCCAGATTTGCCTTAGCCTATTTACGGCGGGGTCGAGGGGCCACGCCGATCACGTTTGTCCCCCATGTTTTTTTTATATTGCTCTCTGCTTCTCTAGCTCTGACCTTCTGATACCGCGGGGGAGTGTAGCGTGGCTGCGCTTGAACGGCAAGATAGGAGGAGGAGTTGAAGGAGGAGTAGGAGGCGGAGGAGGAGTTGAAGAATGATGATGATGATGATGATGATGAGGAGGAGGAGGAGGAGGAGGAGGAGGAGGAGTTGGAGAAGTTGCAGTCGGAGGATGCGGAGGCGGAGGATCCCGGATACTGAGGACGGGGGTGATGCTGTTGTTGATGATGATGGCGATGATGTTGATATTGATTATGATGATGCTGATGATGATGATGTTGATGATATGATGATGAAAATGACGACGGTGATGGTGAAAATGATGATGCTGATGCTGATGATGAGGAGGATGAGGATGATGAGCATAGGTAATATGAGGTTGATGATGAGGATGATGATCATGCTGGTCATGATGATGCTGATGATGATGCCGATGATGATGTTGACGACCATGCTGATGATGCTGATGATGATGTGGATGAGAAGGATCAGAAGGATGAGGATGAGGATAAGGATAATGATGATGATGAGGAGGAGGATGACGATGTTGCTGATGATGGTGTTGGTGATGCTGATGATGATGATGATGATGATGATGATGCTGATGATGATGATGATGATGATGATGATAGTACCAATGAAGATGATGATGATGATGATGATGATGATGATGATGATGATGATGATGATGATGATGATGATGATGATGATGATGATGATGATGATGATGATGATGATGCTGATGCTGATGCTGATGCTGATGCTGATGCTGATGCTGATGCTGATGAGGATGGTGATGATGATGATTATGACGACCATCATGGGAGAAGCAACATGACTATTGTTTATAGTACGCGTGAACGCAAGATCAGTACCAATGACAGCACCACCGCGAATGCTAATATCGAGTGCATTGTAACTAATGCAGGGAATCATACCTGTGAGAAGAATACGACCAGTGAACACAGTACTAATACTAAGAGCATCCTAAGATGACAAGAAGAGAAGAGGATGCGGAGGACGGTGAGAAGGAGGACGAGGACTAGGATGAGGAGGAGGAGGGGGAGGAGGGGGAGGAGGAGGAGGAGGAGGAGGAGGAGGAGGAGGAGGAGGAGGAGGAGGAGGGGGCAGAGGAGGAGGAGGGGGAGGAGGAGGAGGAGGAGGAGGAGGAGGAGCAGCAGGAGCTGGAGCAGGAGGAGCAGAAGCAGGAGGCCGAGGGACAGGGGTGCACGGGTGAGCATGAGTAGGAGGAGGGAAAGGATGAGGAGATGGATCGGGAGGGAGACGGAGGGTGAGGATGAGGACGGACACTGGAGGAGGAGGCGGCAGAGGAGAGGGGCAGGAAGGAGGGTAAGGAGGAGGAGGAGGAGGAGGAGGAGGAGCAGAGTGGGGTGACAGAGAAGCAGGTATTTGATTCAGGGGTATTAGCTCGGGGGCGGTGTAGCGCCGTATGTGAGGATGGATACGGAGAGTTTGTGAAAGCCCTCCACCGGCAAGCTTGTGACTAGTTTGTTTATGGAGGTTGTGTATTTCGAAGCTCCTCTGCTTCGTTGCCTGTCGGCCGTTTGGAGTCTGCTGTGGTTGGCACGAGAGCCTCACGCTTGCGAGGACACATGGTGCAAAGACACAGCGGTGAATCTTGGCTTCGAGATCAAGGATGGGCGTTCGATCTTCGTGGCATTACATGAGCACGGGTGTACATTGCAGTGAGGGTGAGGGTTCGAGAGTTTTTCGCGCCTCCTTGCGATTGCGTTCAGCGCCCATGAAGGATCCGCCATATGTGCTTAGAGGTGGGACAGAGGTGTTTCGTGTGTGACTGCGGCGCCTCGCACTCTGCTGACCATGACCGAAGTGTAATCTGGTGGCCACCATCTCGTTGGAGCCCGTCGGACTAAGCTGAAGTCGGGCCTGTCCCTCTACAGGAGGAATGTTCAAAAATCGTCCAAAAATCATCTGGGGACAATTATTGGAATATTTTTGGGCCATTTTGGAGCATTTGTTGCGTATTTGTTTTTTTTTCTTCGAATATCCCCCTGTAGGGGGACACGTCCGACTGAAGACTAGGCCATCGACCGCTTACCTCACCCGAGCGGCCGCCGCACTCTCGTGAAACGCGGCGCCCAGACCGGGACGGACGAGGTTGCCGAGCTGGAGGCGGGGGGGCGGTGCTGCTTGTCTTGCTCGTTTCGCAGAGCGGCGAGGGCGGCACGCCCCGCGCCGGGCCTCCGACGCCCCGCGGGAGAGCGAGCTCTGCCCGCGCATCGGTGTCTGGCTGCCGCCTGCCTGCCGGTCTGTCTCTCTGCCTGCCGGTCTGTCTCTCTACCTGCCTGTCCATCGTGGATCGCCGGGGAGGAGCGCGTGACGGTCTGATCGTGTGTTGGAGATTGGGCATCGTCAGTGAAGCAGGGGATGCTGTATTGAAGAGTCCAGGGAGGACGGCGCCAGCATCGCCAGCAGTGGCAGGGCCAAGGGGAGGGGGAGAGGCGACAGGAGGAGGAGTAGGAGGAAGAGGGGGAGGAGGAGGAGGAGGAGGAGGAGGAGGAGCGGCAAAGGGAGGGAAGGGAGGGGAGGAAGGGAGAGGATGAGAGGAATCATCAGCGTGAGGCTTCGTGCGCTTGCGCCCTCGCAAAATGCTGGGGGAGGAGGAGGAGGAGGAGGAGGAGGAGGAGGAGGAGGAGGAGGAGGACTCGGTGGGGCGTCCGAGTGCGTGACGGTCGGCCGTCAGCAACCGAGGGCGCGGGCGCGCCAGCAGAAGCGCAGCCGGAGTCAAAGGAGGCGGAGCCAGGAAGAGAGGATAGGGGAGGGAGGGAGGGAGGATAGGGGAGGGAGGGAGGGAGAGAGGGAGGGAGAGGGAGGGAGGGAGGGAGGGAGGGAGAGAGGGAGGGAGGCCAGGAAGGGAGCATACGGGAGGGAGGGAGGGAGAGACGGGCAGGGAGGCAAGAACAGGAGGAGGGGGATGGAGGATGATGCTGCTGCTGCTGGTGATGATGATGAAGATGCTGGTGGTGGTGATGGTGGTGATGGTGATCGCGATGGTGATGTTGGTTGTGGTGGTGGTTGTGATGATGATGATAATGATGATGATGATGATGATGATGATGATGATGCTGATGCTGATGCTGCTGCTGATGATGGTGATGGTGATGATGATGATGATGATGATGATGATGATGATGATGATGATGATGATGATGTTGATGATGATGATGATGATGATATGATGATGATGATGAATGATGATGATGATGATGATGATGATAGAAGATGAGATGATGATGATGATGATGATGAAGATGATGATGATGATGATGATGATGATGATGATGGATGATGATGATGATGATGATGAGGAGGAGGAGATGAGGAGGAGGAGGAGGAGGAGGAGGAGGAGGAGCAGACGGCGGAGGAGGAGGAGGAGGAGGAGGAGGCGGAGGGGGGAGGAGGAGTGACGAGGGAGAGATGTGTGTGTGTGTTTCTGTGTGTGTGTGTGTTTGGCCAGCAGCATTCGAACGCAGCGCAGATAGGTTGTTCGAATGGCACGATTGATGGAATGTACGTGAGTAGGCTCTCGGTCGCAGGCGAGGGACAACAGTAGAGTAATGGTGCATCAGTAAAGCGGCAGTGCACGCGCTCCTCAGAAGTTCATACCATCGTTCCGTGGATGAAGAGAATGAGGACCAGTAGAACGTCAGGCGGCTCAGGATGAGGACGAAGAGGGTGATGCTGAGGTGATGGGGAGGTGAAGGAGGAGGATGCAGGCGGACCAGGAGGACCACTCCTCCCGAGGCGAAGATTGCCAAGGAGTTGGCCGCTATCGGCTCACTGACGGAGCCTATGTGGCCTGCTGCCCAACCCTGCCCCTTTCTCCGCCCTCTCCCCCTTCCCCCCCTCCTCCTCTCTCGTTTCTTTGATGCCAGGTCGTCTTGGCCAGCAGGCCTCCTCCAGGCACTCGCAGGTCTTGCGGTCGCGGGGAAGAACCATTGCCCCTCCCTGGTCTTCTCCCTCCCACTCTCCCCCTTCGCCGGGACGAGGTAGTTCTGTGTCCAGGTGGGTGCCTCTGCGTCCCGGTCGGTGATTCTGTGCCCCAGGTGGGCGTTTCTGTCTCCAAGAGGCCATTCGTTTTAGAAAACATGCAGTGGCGAAAACAGGTGGGCCTCTCCAGAGAAGCCTGTTTGGACCTCTCGTTTGAAACCTCTATGGACCTCTCCGTAGACACCTCTTTGAGATTCCGTTGTGTGAGTTGTGGGGACGGCGGTCGTGGGTCTTTTAGGGGAAGCGTCTCTTGGCCTCTCTCTGGAAAGCTCCTTTAGGCCTCTGGAGAAGGTTCTCTGCAGACGCATCTTTGGACCTCTCTGGAGAAGCCTCTCTCTCACGTAGCCTCTCTCTGGAGAAGCCGCGGGCCTCTTTGGAGACGCCTTTTACTTGACAGAGCGCTGGCCCAGGGTTCAATGTTAGTTTGTACCTCGTCGTTGGTGCCATGTTCGAGGTGGGCCAGTGCATTTCCGCCTGGAACTTTAATTCGTAAGAAGTGGAATGATGTTTGAGTTTGTTTGGTGAGCATGCGTTTCGGTCATGCCGCTTCCGTCGCTTTCCCTCGTTACCCCTCCCTCATCAAATTCCTCTTTTTGTAACCCCCATTCAAGCGCTCTTCGTGTTGTCTGGCCATCCCACTTGACCCACAGGAGAAGATCGGCGAGCTCGTGGGCCAGATCGCGAAGGAGTGCGCTCCCAATCGAAATTGTCTGACAGGGAGGACCTGGGGTAGCAGGAACATGCGGATGAGGATGACGACGAGGACGATGAGGAACAGGACCCGGCGGCTAATGCCAAGATGGCCTGCTAAGACCAGGTGAACAATACTTGTATTTGTCATGGCGAGGTCTGGGCGAATGAGGAAGAGGAACATCAGACGGAACATCATCAGCAGTATCGGGAGCATATGCAGCATGAGAAATAGGACCAGCAGCGGGGGCATGAGCTGGACTAATAGCAAGTACAGGGCCATGCAAATGATGTTGGTGATGCTGCTGACGACCATGATGATGATGCTGATGATGCTGATGATGATGATGATAGTGATGGTGATGGTGGTGGTGAGAATGATGACGAACGACGACGGTGATATGGTAATGCTGCTGATGACGATGATGATGACGACGATTCTGGTGATGATGCGGATGCTGAATAAGGTAATGATGTTGTTGATGATGAAGATGCTGTGGATGCTGATACTGGTGATGGTGTTGGCGATTCGTGTGATGATTAGTGGATGATGACGATGACGATGCTGCTGATGATGCTGATGCTAATGCTGCTGCTGCTGCTGATGATGATGATGATGATGATGATGATGGTGGTAGGATGGTGTCGACACTGATTACTCTCCACATCCTAAGCGGGGTCTTGTTTTCTCTGGACCCCCCGCGCAGTCCTCCTCCTCAACCCCTCACGTCTTACCACCATCATAAGCAGCACACACACACACTCATTCATGATCATCAGCACACACACACACACTCATTCATCATCACTGTCGTTATCATCATCAGATTCACACATCCTCATCAGCGTCACCATCACAAACTCACCATCACCATCACGATCATCACACATTCATCGCCATCACCACCCCATCGTGATCATCGGCCAAACGGGAGCCTCATTTGTGAGGGAAGTTCGGGGAAGTCTCACGCGGGAGCCCCTCCCTATGGGTCCCGAACCTCATGTTCGAATCCTAGCGGGTCATCGGCAACCTGATATTGTCGTCATTTTCGGGCTCCTCAGGCCTGAATCTTGACGAAGTCTCAGGCGGGATCCCCGTCTGTGAGTGAATTTCGGGGAAGCCTCAGGCGGGGCTCCCTAAAGGGCTCGCACTTCATGTTCGAATCCGAACGGGTCATCGGAAACTTGTAACCGCCGTCACGTTCGGGCTCCGCAGTCCTGAATATTGACGAAGTCTCAGGCGGGAGCCTCGTCTGTGAGTGAATGTCGAGGAAGTCTCAGCCGGGAACCCCCTTCTTAAGAGTCCCGCACTTCATGTTCGAATCCTAGTGGGTCATTGGTAACCTGTGTCAGTTGTCATTTTCGGGCTCCTCAGGCTTGAATGTTGACGAAGTCTCTGGCGAGAGCCTCGTCTGTG